CAGGCGGAGGGGGGCCCGTGTTGGGGGAAGGGCAGGCAGAGGGGGGCACGTGTTGGGGGAAGGGCAGGCAGAGGGCCCCGTGTTGGGGAGGGGGAAGGACTTACGCGGAGGCCTCGTGGATCTCGGTTCCATCGTACACTCCGCACCCGGACAGAACCTGCAGACAGAGGAGGTCAAGTGAGGACAATGTTGGGAGATGACAAAAAAGATCCCCAGCAGGCTCCACGCACTCATATGTTCCCGCCCAGAGTCTATGGTCAGGTGACCGGTGCTGTCTTCATGATTTCCCATCAGACCCAACAGAGAGAAGCTGTGCTGACTCCTCCCCCTCTATATACACCCATCTGACAGTGATTACCGCCCTCCCTTTCACTCCTGTATAATAGGATCCTCTATAGGACGTCCTGCATCATCTAGCGCTTTCCTCCCCAGCCTGACTCTTCATTGGATCTCAGTTCTGTCAATCATGTAGGATCGCATGTGGGCGGTAACCTAGGGTGTCCTGTATGCAAATGAAGCCTGACAAGGGAGGGGGCGGGGCACGGGGGGAACTAACGGGAGGAGTGTGACAATCATAAGACAGACATGCGGATACAGACCACGGCCACCCTGCTGGAGGACTTCCCCGGGCTGCTGTGGAAGTGTCTGGGGACCCCAAGAAGGAGGAGCCTGGAGCCCCAAACACCGAGCGCGGCCATGTTTCACCTTCAGTACAGAGTTTAACGTGCAGACCCCGCCCCCTCTCCAGTACACCCCGCCCACAGGAGAAAGAAAGAACTTTCATAGGCGCACTCCCCGCCCTTCTTAACAACATCCCGGCCACTGCTTCAGTATGCCGACTCCTCCCCTCACCATGTGACATCCCGCCCACCGCCTCAGTATGCCGACTCCTCCCCTCACCATGTGACATCCGGTTGTTCTATCAAAGTGTGTGACCGCTTTAGAATGTGTGACCGGTCACGTGGTCACACATTTTAATCTAATCCCGCGCAATTTTTTGGCAGTGAAATAGGCGACCGGTGTTCTACCGAATGTTGCTTCTCGTCGAGATCTCCAACCATCTGACTTCCGGTTTAGTTAGAAGTAAGAGGGAAGTCTGTACAGCACGTGCTCCCCCCCGCGGCATTTCCCTATATAATGATCCCGGGTCACATTCATCTGCAACTAGTGATGCTCTGCGGAGGGTGGTGATTTGCAATGGGTGGTGGTGATGATCTGCGGATGATGGTGGTAGTGATGCCCTGCGGATGATTGTGATGCTCTGCGGATGATGATGGTAGTGATGCTCTGCGGATGATGATGGTAGTGACGCTCTGCGGATGGTGATAGTGATGCTCTGCGGATGATGGTGGTAGTGATGCCCTGCGGATGATGGTGATTGTGATGCCCTGCGGATGATGGTGGTAGTGATGCTCTGGGGATGATGATCTGCGGATGGTGGGGGGAGGGGTTGGTGTGGTGCCAGTCTTGTCTCGGAGTGAT